TTACATGTATGTTGCTAAATTATAGGTATACTTGCTAGGTTACATGTATGTTGCTAAGTTATATGTATACTTGCTAGGTTACATGTATGTTGCTAAATTATAGGTATACTTGCTAGGTTACATGTATGTCGCTAAATTATAGGTATACTTGCTACATTATATACTTTAAATGAATTTCATTTTAGATTATTTGGTAAAACAATGTCTATGAAACTTATGACAAAAGTTGCTTTTACCAGTAGTTGACAAATTCTAAGCTGAAAATGCAAAACAATCTTTATAAGTAAAATGAAAATGGAAATACAAACTATATTCAATATATTAAACAGTACAGCTAATATTATTATTAAAAGCAACAATAAGTAAATTTTATAGGAGCTTAAGAGGGGATCGATGATTTACTGAAGTGAAGAGGGTGGATTTAAATTTTTACTTTTCTGAAGGGTGCATACCAGGATATTCAATTACAGCAAAAGACCAAATGATCCCTTACTCAAGTTACTGTTTGTAAGTTGTTAATAACTGATAAGCTATTCTTTTATAGATTGTTTAGGCAGAGTATTCATGATGAAATTTAGTTGAATAGACGGCGACTGCCTGTTGAGTGTTGTAGAAACAAAAGTACAGTGGACGTTTCGAAAATCTTCTGCCTTTCATCAATTAATAATAATAATAAGCTTATCCCTACATATGGCTGAAACTTTCCACAAATTGAGTACGACTGCAGCAAAATTATCTAATCATGTATGTGTAAATTAAGTTATATAAGAAAACGAAGTGCAATGTAAACAAACAAAACAATAGTTCAGTAGCAGTAGCAAATACTGCGATTAATATTAAAATACACATGCTATTACTTACGTTTTTGGCAACTGTAATGGTGGCGCACCTTTCCTTTGAAAAATTCCGTCTACAAACACTCCATTTTTGCCATTGCAATTCATGTAAAAATGTGGACTATCAAAATAAACTTCTAAATGTCTTCTAGAGATAAAGCTCGAGTGCCCCATATTCACGTCTACCTCTCCTCGGCTACTATTTCGCCCTATTGTAATCCGATATTGCCGAATCATGTATTCAAATTCTCTCCCTTCAAGTCGCGCTATAGCGGTTCCTTTTGGCTCTGGACTCCACTGAACCTTAGAGGGGCTAGCTGGAGCTGACTTAAGTGCCAAAAGAGCCCAAGCGTCATTATCCGATGGTTTCTGTATCGCAGACATATGTACTTAATTTCTCTCGCACTCCAATATGGCTACCTCCACAAACGTGAAGAGATTCATTCCATCAGATACAATAAACACACAAACAGAATCATCTTCCCATAATGCATTGCGATTCCCCCAATGGGAATGATCACGTGATATAAGTGCTGTGAAAATTACACACCCTTCGCGATTGCGTAGTGTTTACGCTATGAATGTTTTGACGCGACAAAACGGAGAAGTATTTTCAACTTTAACTTCAAGTTACGTATTATGTTTTTGCTATCTCTATCTACAGCTCTGCAAATGTTTAATTACAGCGCCTTCTATAATTTCCCAGATTAATTGTCTATTAAATAGAATCTGCAAAACATGCATTAGGCTTTTTATTTAAAATTAGAAGACAACAACACATATCTTAGAAAATTGTATCAATGTACATACTGTTGTATGTGCATTCTACATTTCTACCAGCTTAAACACTGCGGTAAGTTGTAAGCCAGGTTTACAGCCAAGTTAATTGTACTAATACAACGTAAAAAAATCAACTTATTTTTACAAAGTTACTCAATATGCGCGATAGCTAATACAGATCCAAATACTTCAATAGAAACACATTGGCTGATTCACTATGTCGTCTAGACACAACTTTTTAGTTCTTAAATAATTTCTCTGAACCTCGTATTTATAATTTACTTTCGAATTTACCAGAAAACTTGGCGAAGCTTCTGTTACGTCTCCGTTCGTTAGTTGATTTTCCGTAACTTTGTTCCGACGAAACTTTAGCGACACAAGTCCTTTCTTAATAAAACTGGTTTATTCTTTCCGAATACAACTTTACGATACACTTAATTTCAACAGTCGCGGTATAACAACGATCGTT